TATATACGTCTGAAACACTGGCTCCTAAGACGTATATATACGACCAAAACAGTCAAAGGGTTAAGGGCGGTTACTGGGCCAACGCAGATTCATACAGCTTTCTCTAATGCTGGACCAGAGAAAGCGTAATGTTTACCCTCCACCGCATAAACATTGCATATTTATATGCTATGTAACGTGTTTCTTACATAATTTTGAAGATATATCATAGATGGATTAATGAAAATGTCTATATTAACCTAAAATAAAACATTTAATGTGCCCAAGAATGATTATTATTATGTACTATTTGTATTACTATGGTGTTAAGACTAGAGGGACACTAAGTGAATGAGTAACAAAGGCATGTTTATATGCTATGTAACATATTTCTAACATAATTTTGAAGAAAATATCATAGATGGATTAATGAAAATGTCTATATTAACTTAAAATAAGACATTTAATGTGCCCAAGAGTAAGTCATGAATGTATGAGCGGCCCAGGTGTACGTGTCTGGTACCAACGATTTCCGAGGGGATGTACGAATCCCGGGGGGAGCGAGATTTCACTGAAAAAAGTTCTCGAAATCTGATGTGTACGATTTCCACACCAGCTGAAAACCAGGGTCCCACTGTAATAATAAAGGCCTACATACACTGCAGAACAGAGAAATTTATTTATTTTTTTTTATTATCACACTGGCCGATTCCCACCAAGGCAGGGTGGCCCGAAAAAGAAAAACTTTCACCATCATTCACTCCATCACTGTCTTGCCAGAAGGGTGCTTTACACTACAGTTTTTAAACTGCAACATTAACACCCCTCCTTCAGAGTGCAGGCACTGTACTTCCCATCTCCAGGACTCAAGTCCGGCCTGCCGGTTTCCCTGAACCCCTTCATAAATGTTACTTTGCTCACACTCCAACAGCACGTCAAGTATTAAAAACCATTTGTCTCCATTCACCCTATCAAACACGCTCATGCATACTGCTGGAAGTCCAAGCCCCTCGCACACAAAACCTCCTTTACCCCCTCTCTCCAACCTTTCCTAGCGCCCCCTACCCCCCCGCCTTCCTTCCACTACAGACTGATACACTCTTGAAGTCATTCTGTTTCGCTCCATTCTCTCTACATGTCCGAACCACCTCAACAACCCCTCCTCAGCCCTTTGGACAACAGTTTTGGAATCCCGCACCTCCTCCTAACTTCCAAACTACGAATTCTCTGCATTATATTCACACCACACATTGCCCTCAGACATGACATCTCCACTGCCTCCAGCCTTCTCCTCACTGCAACATTCATCACCCATGCTTCACACCCATATAAGAGCGTTGGTAAAACTATACTCTCATACATTCCCCTCTTTTGCCTCCAAGGACAAAGTTCTTTGTCTCCACAGACTCCTAAGTGCACCACTCACTCTTTTTCCCTCATCAATTCTATGATTCACCTCATCTTTCATAGACCCATCCGCTGACACGTCCACTCCCAAATATCTGAATACATTCACCTCCTCCATACTGTCTCCCTCCAATCTGATATTCAATCTTTCATCACCTAATCTTTTTGTTATCCTCATAACCTTACTCTTTCCTGTATTCACCTTTAATTTTCTTCTTTTGCACACCCTACCAAATTCATCCACCAATCTCTGCAACTTCTCTTCAGAATCTCCCAAGAGCACAGTGTCATCAGCAAAGAGCAGCTGTGACAACTCCCACTTTGTGTGTGATTCTTTATCTTTAACTCCACGCCTCTTGTCAAGACCCTCGCATTTACTTCTCTTACAACCCCATCTATAAATATATTAAACAAACCACGGTGACATCACACATCCTTGTCTAAGGCCTACTTTTACGGGGAAATAATTTCCCTCTTTCCTACATACTCTAACTTGAGCCTCACTATCCTCGTAAAAAACTCTTCACTGCTTTCAGTAACCTACCTCCTACACCATACACTTGCAACATCTGCCACATTGCCCTCCTATCCACCCTGTCATACGCCTTTTCCAAATCCATAAATGCCACAAAGACCTCTTTAGCTTTATCTAAATACTGTTCACTTATATGTTTCACTGTAAACACCTGGTACACACACCCCCTACCTTTCCTAAAGCCTCCTTGTTCATCTGCTATCCTATTCTCCGTCTTACTCTTAATTCTTTCAATAATAACTCTACCATACACTTACAAGGTATATTCAGCAGACTTATCCCCCTATAATTTTTGCACTCTCTTTTATCCCTTTGCCTTTATACAAAGGAACTATGCATGCTCTCTGCCAATCCCTAGGTACCTTACCCTCTTCCATACATTTATTAAATAATTGCACCAACCACTCCAAAACTATATCCCCACCTGCTTTTAACATTTCTATCTTTATCCCATCAATCCCAGCTGCCTTACCCCCTTTCATTTTACCTACTGCCTCACGAACTTCCCCCACACTCACAACTGGCTCTTCCTACACTCCTACAAGATGTTATTCCTCCTTGCCCTATACACGAAATCACAGCTTCCCTATCTTCATCAACATTTAACAATTCCTCAAAATATTCCCTCCATCTTCCCAATACCTCTAACTCTCCATTTAATAACTCTCCTGTCCTATTTTTAACTGACAAATCCATTTGTTCTCTAGGCTTTCTTAACTTGTTAATCTCACTCCAAAACTTTTCTTATTTTCAACAAAATTTGTTGATAACATCTCACCCACTCTCTCATTTGCTCTCTTTTTACATTGCTTCACCACTCTCTTAACCTCTCTCTTTTTCTCCATATACCTTCCCTCTTTGCATCACTTCTACTTTGTAAAAACTTCTCATATGCTAACTTTTTCTCCCTTACTACTCGCTTTACATCATCATTCCACCATCGCTCCTCTTCCCTCCTGCACCCACTTTCCTGTAACCACAAACTTCTGCTGAACACTCTAACACTACATTTTTAAACCTACCCCATACCTCTTCGACCCCATTGCCTATGCTCTCATTAGCCCATCTATCCTCCATAGCTGTTTATATCTTACCCTAACTGCCTCCTCTTTTAGTTTTAAACCTTCACCTCTCTCTTCCCTGATGTTTCTATTTCCTTGTATCCCATCTACCTTTTACTCTCAGTGTAGCTACAACTAGAAAGTGATCTGATATATCTGTGGCCCCTCTATAAACATGTACATCCTGAAGTCTACTCAACAGTCTTTTATCTACCAATACATAATCCAACAAACTACTGTCATTTCGCCCTACATCATATCTTGTATACTTATTTATCCTCTTTTTCTTAAAATATGTATTACCTATAACTAAACCCCTTTCTATACAAAGTTCAATCAAAGGGCTCCCATTATCATTTACACCTGGCACCCCAAACTTACCTACCACACCCTCTCTAAAAGTTTCTCCTACTTTAGCATTCAGGTCCCCTACCACAATTACTCTCTCACTTGGTTCAAAGGCTCCTATAACATTCACTAACATCTCCCAAAATCTCTCTCTCTCCTCTGCATTCCTCTCTCTCCAGTGCATACACGCTTATTATGACCCACTCTCTCGCATCCAACCTTTACTTTAATCCACATAATTCTTGAATTTACACATTCATATTCTCTTTTCTCCTTCCATAACTGATCATTTAACATTACTGCTATACCCCTTCCTTTGCTCTAACTCTCTCAGATACTCCAGATTTAATCCCATTTATTTCCCGCCACTGAAACTCTCCTACCCCCTTCAGCTTTGTTTTCGCTTAGGGCCGGACATCCAACTTCTTTCATTCATAACATCAGCAATCATCTGTTTCTTGTCATCCGCACTACATCCACGCACATTTAAGCATCCCAGTTTTATAAAGTTTTTCTTCTTCTCTTTTTTAGTAAGTGTCTACAGGAGAAGGGGTTACTAGCCCATTGCTCCCGGCATTTTGAGTCGCCTCATACGACACGCATGGCTTACGGAGGAAAGATTCTTTTCCACTTCCCCATGGACAATAGAAGAAATAAAGAAGAACAAGAGCTATTTAGAAAAGGAGAAAAACCTAGATGTATGTATATATATATGCATGTGCGTGTCTGTGAAGTGTGACCAAAGTGTAAGTAGGAGTAGCAAGATATCCCTGTTATCTAGCGTGTTTATGAGACAGAAAAAGAAACCAGCAATCCTACCATCATGCAAAACAGTTACAGGTTTCTGTTTCACAGTCATCTGGCAGGACGGTAGTACTTCCCTGGGTGGTTGCTGTCTACCAACCTACTACCTAGAAATATAACCTGTATTTTGCTATGGAACGAAACGAAAATTACAACATTAATTAATGTTCTGAATTTTTTTTTTAGATACTGATCCTAATTTTGACTTAGAAGGGGGTTTGAGATGGTGGTTTTCATCTAATACTTCAGAAGGTGGGAGAAACAAATGTTTCAGAGTAAGATAGGATGTGGTTAAAAGAAAATGATGGCAGGCTTGATTACAGGCATAGACTGCTGAAGAAATTCTAGAAGAGGATCTTTCTTTCAACAAAAGAAGAGGATGCAATTGATTTCATCAAGGACAGTGGTACCTTGAATTTCAGCCATAATTTGTTCCAGAAGGCTGTTCAAGTGCCATTACCAAACAAATTTGTTCCCCTAAGGAATAATGTAAATTTGATTAGTCTATTTCAGACCCCCCAAAAATACACTTACATAATTGTTTGAGTTGGGAGCTGTTCGAAATTCGAGGTACCACTGTATATCTAGTTGTCTTTAAAAAATGTACAGACCATTTGTCCAAATTTTCACACTTTTAGAGAAGCTGTCATGAGGGAGCAGCATCAACATGGCAAATAACTGAAGCTGGATATGCTCTTCCAGCATGTTGCTGCTTCTACATCTCCCAAATCTACAAGTAGGCCAATGGACCTTCACAATGTCTTCAACTCAGAATGAAAGTTACTTAAAGTCACCATTGTACAATTACTGCAATTAAATATTTTCTATTCATCCCAACAGGTAAATAAAATTATTCAATTGCACTGTACTTTTAACCACTTTATTCCCAACAATGTATGGTACTGTCCAGCAACAATGGATAAAGTCCAATGGTTAGAAAATTGTCTGTTATCATTACAAACATTGCAAAACGATCTCATTTTTTTTTTCATTTAAAAGATAATCAGCATTACCTGACACTCACTCCCTGAAATCAAGGTATCATTGTACAGGTATTCCTAAAGAAAATTTGAAGCTATATACAGTATTAGTTATAAATAGTTTTATAAATATAAAAGGTACATGTATGTACAGTACAGCACTGTACATTATTTAAAACCAATTACTTACAGGGATTCTATATTTAATGGCAATTCCTGCTAAAGTTTCTCCACTTTGTATGGGTCGATCAACAAGTTGCTCATAATCAGATAAAAGCTTTGCTGTAGTGGCTGTTGTAATACTACTTCCATTGCTGCTATTTTTACCACCAATACGTTTTAATTCAGTTGCACGAGATGTGAATAACTCTTCGTCATCTTCATCACAGGAGATGTAGCAGTTTCCGGAATCTTTTTCAACACTTGATAGTCGCCTATACTTGTAGTTCCTGAGGGTATAATGACAACTGTGTTACACACTTGCAACAATTTAAATAGTATAAAGAACAAATAAAAGTAAATTAAAACAATGTCTAAACAAAAAAAAGTGTGTTAATATTGTGCAGAGAACTCGTAGTTTGGAGATTAGAAAGGCATGCAGGGGTTACTAAAAGTATTATCCAGAGGGTTGAGGAGGGATTGCTGACGTGGTTTGGACATTTAGAGAGGATGGAGCAGATTAGGATGACTTGGAGGGTGTACACAGCCAGACAGCCAGACACATTCAGTTAGCTAGCCTATCAGTTAGCCAACAAAACCAGTTAGACTGGTAGGCCAGTGTTTGGGCCTACCTGCTTAAAATCACTATGGGGTTAATATTTTTCCATGCTGATTAATAATCAGCACTTAAAAAGGTAAAATCAGATCGTTTTAGTATGATACAAGGTCCTGTTCTCCCTTTGATTTTATCATATGAAGCCCCACTATAACACCTAATTCAAGCCTGCATAAATAACTCATTTCAACTGTGACCAGATATAAACATGTAAATTGTTCATTACTGCTGTAACTTGTTCAGCTATCAAAACTTTGCAACCCAGCCCCTGGACCCATTATGTACCTCTGTAATCTTTGACTACCACCCACAGGATGGATGGGTATGGGGGTACATAATAAAGATATTAAGCTAAAAACTAACATTCTCATCAAAACTACTCTTAACCTTCAATGAAACCTATATAAGATTTTTTTTGCATTTTTGAGAATTGATCCAACAGTTTCATCATGCCCATTTTCCAATTTTTAGAGAGAAAAAAAAAAAACTAGATTTCAGTAATTTTGGCCATTCTAGGAAGGATTTTTCAAAATTGCTTAAAAAAATCACTCCAAGTGTACTATTTTTCATGATGATTAAGAATAAGCACTTTAAAAGATAAATTCAGGAAATTTAACCCTTTCAGGGTCAGTGTCATACATGTACTGCTTGAGAACCAGGATTGGTGCTGTACTGCTTATACGCCAAAATTTTAGCGCTTTCAAATCGAGCAGAAGAAAGCTGGTAGGCATACATATGAAAGAATGGGTCTGCATGGTCAGTGTGCACAGTATAAAAAAAAAATGCTGCAGCACTTAGTGCATGAGAAAAAAAAAAAAACTCCAAGCTTTTGGACTGTATTTTCATATGGTATTTATGGTTGTATTCTTCTTTTCTTGGTCTCAGTTAACCTTTTCTCAGGGTCGGCCAAATTTAAAATATAAAAAAAAAAAAATTTCCTGATGAAAAGACAGAGAATCTTTTCCCGATCATAATGACACCAAAAGTATGGAATTTGATGGAAAACTTAAGGAATTATGCTCTCACGAAGTTAGCGGTCTCGACGATGTTTACGCATCGGCGATTTTGCCCACAGAGCCCTATTTTCGGCCAATTCCAGTGTACTTGTCGACAAAAATCATAACTATTTTGCTAGAACTCCATTTTTTCTATCGAATGAGTACAAGAAACCACCCATTTACCGATTTCAACTATCCAATACAGTGGTCAGAATTTAGCAATTTTGCCAATTTCACACAAATTTCAAAAGATGCCAATTTCCGAATAGGGTCCAGAATAAACAAGAAAGACATTCCTGGCACTAAAATAACATTTCTTCTGTTCATTAGTCATGTCCCCATGCCCCTCTAACATTCTTTTGCTTTCCACTTTGAATTTTTTATTCTCACAAAAAAGTAGAAGATTTACTGTTATGCAGACTACTGCAGTGGTGTAGAAATGGTATAAATATTATCAGCGCACTTTTGAAAGAATATTAGACTCACCAGTTGACGTGTATTGAACGCATAGCATGATTTGTTTACTTTTGAACTTTGGTAAAAATCGAACATTTCTGCTACTTTGAGCGCAATTTCAAGGTACTTTTCTTTGTAAAATCAGTCAAAATCATCTCAATTTCTGTAATATGTCTTCCATTCTATAAAATGAGACCAGGAAAACTAGAATACAACAATAAATGCCATACGAAAATACAGTGCAAAGTCGCTGTTTTAATCCAAAAACACGGTCAAAGTTTTTTTTTTTTCTCATTACACACTGTGTGCTGCAGGATTTTTTTTTATACTGCACACACTGACCACATAGACCCATTCTTTCATATGTAGGCCTACCAGCTTTCTCTCACTAGATTTGAGGGCGCTAGAATTTAGGTGTACTAGTACGTCAAAAACCCTGGTGCGTAAGCCATACTAGTACGGTCGAAACCCTGAAAGGGTTAATAGAATGGAAGATGTATTACAGAAATAGATATGACTGATTGGTTTCACGATGAAAAGTACCTTGAAATTGAGCTCAAAGTAGCAGAAATGTTCAAGAGTTAACAAATCACACCACACATCCAATACACGTCAACTGGTGAGTCTAATATTCTTTCACAAGTGCGATGATATTATTTATACCACTTTTACAATAATGCAGTAGTCTGCATGACAGTAAATTTTCTATTTTTTTGTGTAAATAAAAATTCAAAATGAAAAGCAAGAGTAATATAAGAGAGGCCTGGAGACATGACTAATGAACAGAGAAAATGTTATTTTAGTGCCAGGAATGTCTGTCTTGTATATTCTGGACCCTATTTTGATACTGGCATCTTTTGAAATTTGCGTGAAATTGGCCAAATTGCCAATTTCTGATCACTTTATTGGGTAGTTGAAATCGGTAAATGGGCGGTTTCTTGTACTGTACTCAGTCGATAGGACAAATGGAGTTCTAGTGAAATAGCCGAGTTTAGTCAACTGGAACAATGGAATTGGCCGAAAATAGGGCTCAAAGTGGGTGAAATTGCTGATGCATAAATATTGCCAATATTGCAAACTTCACGAGTGTAATTTTGCAAGTTTTCCATCAAATTTCGTATTTTTGGTGTCATTACGATCGAAAAAACAAAAAAAAAGGCATAATACCGTGACTGGAACGATACACAAATACAGTGGACCCCCGCATACCGTTGGCCTTACATAACGTTAAATCCGCATACCGATACGTTTTATCGCTAAGATTTTGCCTCGCATACCGCTAAAAAACCCACTCAACGCTGTTCGTCCGAGACGCATCTAATGTGCGGCCTTAGCCAGCCTCCCATGTTCCGCCGGTGGCATTGTTTACCAGCCAGCCTCCGCGGTAACATCCAAGCATACAATTGGAATATTTCGTATTACAGTGTTTCTGGTGATTTTATCTGCAAAATAAGTGACCATGGGCCCCAAGAAAGCTTCTAGTGCCATCCCTACAGGAATAAGGGTGAGAATTACTAGAGATGAAGAAAGAGATCATTGATAAGTATGAAAGTGGAGTGCGTGTCTCCGAGCTGGCCAGGTTGTATAATAAACCCCAGTCAACCATCACTACTATTGTGGGCAACAAAAAGGTAATCAAGGAAGCTGTTCTTGCCAAAGGTTCAACTGTGTTTTCGAAACAGAGATCGCAAGTGATGGAAGATGTTGAGAGACTCTTATTGGTGTGGATAAATGAAAAACAGATAGCAGGAGATAGCATCTCTCAAGTGATCATAAGTGAAAAGGCTAGGAAGTTGCATCAGGATTTAATTAATGTGAGTGAATTTAAGGCCAGCAAAGGTTGGTTTGAGTGATTTAAGAAGCATAGTGGCATACATAGTGTGATAAGGCATGGTGAGGCTGCCAGTTCGGACCACAAAGCAGCTGAAAAATTTGTGCAGGAATTCAAGGAGTACATAGAAAGTGAAGGACTCAAACCTGAACAAATGTTTAATTGTGATGAAACAGGCCTGTTTTGGAAGAAAATGCCAAGCAGGACCTACATTACTGAGGAGGAAAAGGCACTCCCAGGACATAAGCCTATGAAAGACAGGCTTACTCTGTTGATGTGTTCCAATGCTACTGGTGATTGTAAAGTGAAGCCTTTATTAGTGTATCACTCAGAAACTCCCAGAGCGTTCAGACAAAAGAATATCCTCAAGGCTAATTTGTGTGTGCTGTGGAGGGCAAACAGTAAGGCATGGGTCACTACGGACTTTTTCTATGACTGGTTACACCATGCATTTGCCCCCAATGTGAAAGATTACCTAACTGAAAACAAATTAGACCTTAAGTGCCTCCTGGTGTTAGACAATGCCCCTGGTCATCCTACAGACGTGGCAGAGCGACTCTATGGAGACATGAAGTTCATTAAGGTGAAGTTTTTGCCTCCTAATACCACTCCTCTCCTGCAGCCCATGGACCAGCAGGTTATTGCAAACTTCAAAAAACTGTACACAAAAGCTCTGTTTGAAAGGTGCTTTGTAGTGACCTCAGAAACTCGACTAACTAAGAGAGTTTTGGAGAGATCACTTTAATATCCTCAATTGTGTAAACCTTATAGGTAAGGCTTGGGAGGGAGTGACTAAGAGATCCTTGAACTCTGCTTGGAAGAAACTGTGGCCAGAATGTGTAGACAAAAGGGATTTTGAAGGATTTGAGGCTAACCCTGAGAGGAGTATGCCAGTTGAGCAATCAATTGTGGCATTGGGGAAGTCCTTGGGGTTGGAGGTTAGTGGGGATGATGTGGAAGAGTTGGTGGAGGAGGACAATGAAGAACTAACCACTGATGAGCTGATAGATCAACTTCAACAGCAAGAGGCCAGACCTGAGGAAACTGGTTCGGAGGAGGGGAGAGAGAAATTGAAGAAGTTGTCTACTACAAAGATTAAGGAAATCTGTGCAATGTGGCTGAAAGTGCAAACCTTTATGGATGAAAATCACCCTCACACAGCTATTGCAAGCCGTGCTGGTGACTATTACACTGACAATGTTGTGAAACACTTTAGGGAAGTCATAAAGGAATGAGAAGTACAGGCCACTATGGACAGATATGTTGTGCGACAGAAGTCCAGTGACTCTGAAGCTGGTCCTAGTGGCATTAAAAGAAGAAGGGAAGTAACCTCAGAAAAGGACTTGACACCTCAAGTCTTAATGGAAGGGGATTCCCCTTCTAAACATT